CGCTGATTGCAGAAACCCTGGCGGCCAAGATGGACGGGCGTGCCCTCTGTCTCGTTTGGCCGAACGAATCAAAGATTTCGCGGGCGGGAAAGGGGGCGCATCGGACCCAACGCGACGATGAGAGAGGGGCGGGGGGGATAGCAAGGAAGAAAATAATATTGTGGATCAGGAGAAAGAAAGAATATGCTACTACCCTTTGAGCATTGCGCTCGAAGCAGGCGTTGCGCCTCAATGGGTACATTAGGCATTACGCCCACGTGAAGAGCATTACGCCCAAAGAAAATCAGCATTACGCTGAAGAAAGCAGGCGTTGCGCCTTAATCGCACCCCTGGGCATTACGCCCCTGTGAAAAGCATTACGCCCAGCGCTTTAGAGTATTACATTCATCCTCCCAGAGCCTTGCGCTCTTCTCCCCTACTGCTAAGAGCAAGCGCATTACGCCCTGCTGTGGCTCCTCCCCTATCATCCTCATCCTAAACAGGCATTGCGCCTTTGACTACACCCTGGGTATTACACCCGTTTGAAGAGCATTGTGTTCTGATCTGTTTGAGTATTACACTCCAAAGTAGTGCGCCCTGCTGGTTATCCTCCTGTCGTAGCCTCTCCTCCATCAGCCCGCGCGCGGGTGACCTGCCTGTGGGCGGTGGCGGGCGGGGGTGGGGGGATCCTCCTCCTCCTTATCCTCCTGCTCCTCCTCCTCCTTCTCCTCCTTCTCCGCCTCCTGGTCGTCACCCCCATACAACAACTAAAGAGGAGGCTCCCGCCTGATAGACCCCAACAATAACTGAAGAGGAGGCTCCCGCCTGAGAGCTTCCCCAAACAACTCTCTGATGAGGAGACTCCCGCCAGAGAGGTTACTACGGCGAGGGCATTGGATAAGGAATCATTAGATAAGAAATCCAGGATTTGGAAGCCGGCGGAGCTCCAATTGTGGATCGGCCGTGGATGTCGCCACCGCCCTCATCGGATGAGGAATCCCCCAAGGTCTGATGCCTCCTGGGCACATTCCTTAACCAACGCACCCGACGTAATCACAGTCTCTGAGGGGGCAACTTCGCCTGAAAGGTCCAACAAAAAAGAGACAACTGCTCCTCCTTCTCCTCCTCCTCCCTCTCGACTGGACTTCGTCCTGGGACTCCTGATTCCTGACTCCTCCTCCCTCTCTCTCTCTTCCTCCTCCTGCTGCTGCTCCCCCTCCTTCACATAATGATCGTAATCTTCCTCATCATCATCGTCAACATCATCATCATCATAATCAGCAGAATCATCATATTGTTCGTAATCATCATCATCATCATCACCATCGTCATCATCACCATCACCAACATCAGCATCGACATCATCATCAACACAATCAGCATCACCATAGTCATCAGCAACATCAGCATCATCAGCAATACCATCTTCATATTCATCTTCTCCGTCATCATCACCATAATGTTCGTCATCCTCGTCTTCGCCATGGCCATGACGGTCTTGCATGAGAGGTCCCCAAAACATGTGAGGAGGAAAAGGCTCCCGCCTGAGAGGTCCCCAATCAACGTCAGGATGAAGAGGCTCCCGCCTGAGAGGTCCCAAAAAAACGCGAGGAGGAAGAGGCTCCCGCCTGAGAGGTCACAAAACAACGTGAGGAGGAAGAGGCTACCGCCTGAGAGGTCCCCAAAAAACGCGAAGAGGAAGATGCTCCCGCCTGAGAGGTCCCCAACTAATCTCTTGGGAGGAGGCTACCGCCTGAGAGGTCCCCAAAAAAAAGCAAACAGGAGGAGGCTCCCGCCTGAGAGGTCCCCAAAAAACCAAAAGAAACCCAAACACCATGTCTCTCATCCTTGTAACTGTCCCAAAAAACAAAAAACCCAAAGTTCCAGAGGAGATGCCGGCCCTCGTCAATGCATCTGGGGCAGCGACGTCCGTTCTCCTCTGGAACTTTGGGTTTTTGGGTTTTTTGGGGACAGTTACAGGGATGAGAGGCATGGTGTTTGGGTTTCTTTGGGTTTTTTGGGGGCCTCTCAGGCGGGAGCCTCCTCCTGTTTGGTTTTTTTCGGGACCTCTCAGGCGGAAGCCTCCTCCCAAGAGAGTTTTTTGGGGACCTCTCAGGCGGGAGCCTCCATTTGACTTTGTTTTTTTGGGACCTCTCAGGCGGGAGCCTCTTCCTCCTCACGTTTCTTTGGGACCTCTCAGGCGGGAGCCTCTTCCTCTTCGCGTTTTTTGGGGATCTCCCAGGCGGGAGCCCCTTCCTCCTCACGTCTTTTTGCGACCTCTCAGGCGGGAGCCTCTTCCTCTTCGCGTTTTTTGGGGACCTCTCAGGCGGTAGCCTCTTCCTCTTCACGTTTTTGGGGGACCTCTCAGGCGGGAGTTTCAACACAATCAACACAATCAGCAGAATGAGGTAGGTCCCTGATGGAGACGGGTACCTTTCAATTGTATGGTTTTCTTATTGTGTTTGAGTGTGTTGGTGTCTTATTGTTGTTGATTTTGATGCTATCGATTGCAAACGTTCTTGCAACAACACAGGGTCAACACCTACATCAACATATGAACGAACTTCTCCGCTTAAAGCCCTCGGGGGCTTGCATTTGTGAAGATGGGGTCCCCGTGGGGGGGCTACCACATATATATATATATGTATATATATATATATATATATGCACCGCGCGGCCCCAGTTAGGGGGTTTCTGTCTTCAGATAAAGTCAAGACATTTGAACCGTGCAAAACAGCGCAATGCAACTCATTGTTCGGCATTGCTTCGCACTGATTGGACTTGTTTCAACATGTTTGGCGCTGCTTGGCATTGATTGTGGAGTTGCTGTGCCTTGGTTAGCATTGTTTGTCGTTGCTTGGCCTGGCGTCGCATGGCGTTGCTGGGCATTGCTTGGCGCTGCTTAGCATTGCGTTGCGTTGCTGCGCGCTGCTTGGCATTGCTCGGCATTGCTTGGCATGGCTTTGCGGTGCTTGGCATTGCTTGGAATTGTTCGGCATTGCTTTGCGTTGTTTTGCATTGGTATGCGTTGCTTGGTGTTGATTGTGATTGCTTAGCATCGGTTTGCGTTTCTGGGCGTTGCTCGGCATTAGCTGTTCATTGCTTGTAACTGAATGGCATTGCATGACATTGCGTTGCGTTGCTTGGCTTGACTTGGCATTGCTTGGTGTTGCTGGGCATTGCTTGGTATTTATTGGCGTTTCTGAAATTAGTTGGCATTGCTTGACATAGTTTGGTGGTTATTGGCGTTGCTTGGCGTTGCTTCGCATTGGCTTGGCAGAGCTTGGCGTTGCTTGTGATTGCTTGTCGCTACTTGGCGTTTCGTGGCGTTGCTTCGCATTTGTTTGCATGGCTGTGAATTGCTCGGCGTTGCTTGGCGTTGCTTGTCGTAGCTTGGCTTTTTGTTGGCCGGCCATGCCATGCAGCTCCGAGCAACCCTGAGGACCCCTGGGCAGCCCTGGCCTTCGCCTCAGTGCCCCGCAACGCCGAGCAAGCCCGAGCAACCGAGGGCCACCCAAAAAGCAACTCGGGGCCCCGCCTCTGGCGAAGCGCGTCGCGCCCAAGGAACGGTCTCTCCACCAGCAAGAGAGAACCCTGTTGGGCAAGCCTGACTGGGGAACGAAGCAGTGCTCCTCTTCCTCAACCTCCTCCCCGTCTTCCTGAGGAGGCACGGGGCGACGTTGGTACAGAGGTGCAGAGAGGGAGGCCGTTGCAAATCCTCGGTTGCCATCAGAAACAATCGAGACTCGATGAGCAACTACTCACGTTCCTTCTGCCCCCCATCTCTCCTCCTCCTCCCCCGCCCCGACTTCCCCTTCTTCCCTCATCTTCCTCCTTCTCGCTCCTCCCCACATACGACGATAGACCACGGTGGCGGCGGCGACGATGACGATGGACGGCACGACGATGGCGACGACGACGACGATGATCGACGACCCACGACGACGACCGACGATCGACGATCGACGACGACTGATGGAGACGATTTGCGACATCGCCATCAACGGCCGACGACACTGATCGACGACGACAATGACGGTCGATGACGGACGACGGCGTCACCGACGGCCGAAGACGACCGGCGACGTCGCCGTCATCGACGCTCCACGATCCAAGGCGACGTTGACGACGGCGATTGTCTGGCGACGATCGACGTCAACGACGATCGACGACGACGACACCACCGCCGCCCTCGCCTTCCGCGCTGTCGCCGGAGGCCGCCCAAAGCCGTCGAGGGGCCTCCGAAGGGCCGCCGAGGGGCTGCCGACGATCGACGATGACGATCGACGGCGACGGCTGTCTGACGACGATCGACGCCGGCGGCGATCGATGACGACATATCGATCGACGACGATGGAACCGACTACAGTACGGAAGCAATCTCAGAAATCGACCTACCAGCAGGTACACCCCAGAAGTTTCTTACTCCCAGATGGCCCTGGGGACCCACGTAAAAGCTCTGGGGCACTACAGGACCATCAGAGGTCGACGAAGATTGTTCCCCTACTCCAAGTCCCTTATTAATCGTCCCCTGGGTCTGGTTTTTCAAGGCGCCTTTTTTGAAACTTGGCGGGTCCGGTTTATTAGGGCGTTTTCTTTGGATTGGAGCTTAGGGGGCCCGGTTTATGAAGGCGCCCCGTCGAAGAGGGGGGTCTGGAATATCAGGCCGCATTTGCAGGGGGTTCCGGTGTTTGAGGGGGGGTAGATCCAGAATTGGGGTATCTGGAGTAGATTCCTTCCAGCAGGCGTTATTGTCGTGCGCGTCTCCTCGCAGTCTTGCTTGGCGCGCGCCCCAGGAGGAGGTCCAGGGAGAAGCGGGAGGGGGAGGGGGAGGAGAGGAGGAGGAGGAGGAGGAGGAGGAGGAGGAGGAGGAGGGAGGAGGAGGAGGAGAGGAGGAGGAGGAGGGAGGAGGAGGAGGAGGGAGGGAGGAGGAGGAGGAGGAGGAGGGAGGAGGAGGAGGAGGAGGAGGAGGAGGAGGAGGGACCAACGACCGATGGCTGACCACCGAGGGCCGCCGACAGGCTCACGCTGGGCCCCATAGCGATGGGCGACCTGCTCGGGCGGGCCGTGTGGAGCGGCAACGCGGAGTGCGCGTTCGCGCTGGCCGGCGCCGCCGCCGCCGCCGGCCCCCCCCACGCAGAGGAGGAAGACGTGCCCATACCCCTACCCCTCGCCCGTTGCCCCCTTTTTGGGCCTCCTGGGCGGCCCTCGGCGCCACCGCTGGATTCGCCCCGAAGTCCTGGTCAGAACGCGCCCCGGGAGAGGCCAGGTGAGCAGCGGTGTCGGTACCTTTTGGCTTCCCCACCCCCCTCCTCCTCCTCCTCACGCTAAGTTAAGCTAAGCTAAGCTAAGCTAAGCTAGATTAGGCTAGGCTAGGCTAGGCTAGGCTAGGCTAGGCTAAGCTAAGCTAAGCTAAGCTAAGCTAGCTAAGCCAGCTAAGCTACGCTAAGCTAAGTGTAGCTAAGCTAAGCGAAGCTAAGCTAAGCTAAGCTAAGCTCACCCAGGGGGCGCGGGGGGATCCTGGGTGAACCGCGGGGCGGATGCCAGGGGAACCGCCTGGGGCGAGCCCCATTGCCCGGCCCTTTAAGCTAGTAAAGTAAGAACCCTTCTAGGCAGAGCCTAGGTAGGGAATGAAACTCTAACCACCTGGTTTCCCCCCTCCCAGGCCCACGGGAGGTGATAGGGGGAAGGAGGGGGAGAGACGACAATTCTCGTTGATCCACCTACGCCCTAAAAGGCTGGTGGGACTCATGCTGACAGCAGTCGTCCCGAATCAACGGGACACGCAACGGGCGGAAACGAGCATGTATGTACTTGTCGACATGCGTGCATCGTTCGCCTCATCTGTTTAGTAAGGCGTATCTCTACGTTGGTTTCACTAGTTAGGCTTCTGGAGTTCGGCTTAGGTTGTTGTTTCTTCTTGTGTTGCTAAGCGTATCCTGGGTTCGCCATGCAGGCGTCCTTGGTTCGGGGTCTGCCACATCGGCTTTCTGAGTCAGGCTTCGTCAGCTCGATCCATTTTCAGTGGCCTGCTTAGGCATACAGTGCCAGGTAGGTTTGGCCAGGCTCGTGCAGTCAGGCTCGTGCCAGGAAGTCCCGACGCCCTTCCCTGCCCCAGCTCTCCATCCAGGGCCGCATCTCTGCGGGCCCAGGGCCCGAGGACCCCGATCCCCCAGTGCACGAGGCGCCTGTGAACTGCGTCCTCCCGTCGTTCGGAGACCTGGTATGGCACATGCATTTCCTCGATCCCTCCTTGAATGATTCGAACAGGGCATCGACTACAGAATCGGTTTACCCCAAACTGTTTTTTTCTCCTCAAGTGCACGAGAGATGCGCGGAGTGCACGAAGGTCCACGAGCGGTGCACGCATGTCCTTGTGGGCTCGAAGAGAAATCCAGGTCTGGGGCAAACCAGTTCTGTAGTCGATCCCCTAAACCCGGGTCTGCCGACGTTTCCTGACGAGCGCGCTCCTTGGATGTTTGGGGTCCAGTCTTCGTGGCATGTCTTCGGCTTCTGTTCCTTCGACTCCTCCACGGCGAGGTCCCCTGCCTGCCCGGAGCGCGCGCGCCCCGCCGGGGTCCGCTGCGCAGGCCCTGGCCGTCAAGATGGCCACCGAGCTCGCCATCCCGAGGCCGGTCCCCCCCGCGTGTCGCTGCGCGGAGCCTGGCCACGAGAGGAGGAGGAGGAGGAGGAGGAGCAGGAGGAGGAAGAGGAGAAGGAGGAGGGGGAGGGGGAGGAGGAGGAGGAGGAGGAGGAGGAGGAGGACCATCACAGGCTAATGAGGAAGGCTAAGGTTAGGCCGACCCGACCCTAACCGAAACCTAAAGGTTACATCCGCTCACCACTTACGCTCACATGTATCCTGCCTCGCCGCTCCCTCCTTGAGGAGCTGGGCAGCAGGAAAGGGCAGGGCAAGTCGGGGGCGGGCCTTCATACTGCTCTTGGGATGTCGGCCGCCTGACAGAAGAGACCACGCACCTTGGGAGAACTTGCTTCGGAAGCGCTCCTTACATTCACCTTTGAGCCCTTTGAGGTTGCTTTCCGTATATCGGCCGCACCTCCTGCACACTACAATGAAGGACTCAATATCAAGGTAATCACATATCATAAGTTGGTGCTTCTGGGGGTCTCTAATTAATTGTGAGAGTGTCGCCGAGTTGCCTGGGCACGGCTCCGCCGTGCGGGCTTTCTTGGTGGCGTCGGATCTAGCTCTAGTATGGCATAGCAGGCACAGCCAGTGACCGTTCAACCAGCCCCAAGTGTGCCTACTGGCATTGTCGCGTGCACTCGCACGCCTGGGACCCGCAGCAGGGGGTGGGGGGGTAAGCCACTCATGGACCGCACCCGCTGCCCCCACAGGGGGATTGAGGCTCTTGGCTGGGGTGGCAAAGGCTTTCTTCCCAGTCTTCGGCGCCAGCGGCGCCCAAAGTGAAAGGGCCTCGCCAACAAATCGCACGAACCTCTGCACCCTGCTGCGAGTCTCTTTATAAAAAATCAATCTCCAAAGTCGACGGGGCTGGG